CATTTTATAGTTATAGTAAAGTATATCTCTTTTTAGAAGCTTCTTTTCCTCAACATTTTTAACAAATATGTAACATTGCACATGTAGTATACCCAAGATCTTGGTTTAAGTCCATTATGTTTGATATCCACAGTTTCATGGAACATTATTAACATTTGCTCAGTACATTCATAAGATTAAAAATGTAGCCATTAGCTGAAGGCCTTTGGGGCATATGTTCCAAATTAAGAGAATTGCAAGTATTCGGTCAAATACTACATTAGCAGTATTACTCATGAACAAAAAATGCCCATGGTGAATCCATTAGAAATTAGTCAAAGTTGGAAAACTCACAAGTGATCTTCCACCCACTTGAGGATGTACTATTCACAGATAATATTGTATTGAGATTTCCCTTCACGTATTTTACTCTCTTAATTTCCTAAAGGGATTTTTGCAATAACTATATTCCTGGTGATGGATGACATTTAAAAATCTGGACATGATATCTGTATAAAGGAACCTCAGATTAAACCAAAGAATAAATAAGAACAGGAGGCGTTTTCCTATGTACAAGGATCTCTCCAATGGCATTTGTCAGGGCACAAGTCCAGCCAACTGAGTCAGCTCTATACCTCACTGGACCCAGAGTAGCAGATATACTTGTAAGGAAAATGCTTCTACTATGTGCACACAAAGTATTTTTTTTTTCTAGAACAATGATGCAAGTTAGCTACCAAGTCCTGTTTTTGAAACATATTCTTTTTCACTCTAACAATTCAGTGACACACGTTCATGTAAGTACTATGCCTGGGCACTGCTGGCTCACACCTATAGTCCTAGCTACTCAGGAAGCTGGGATCTGAGGATCGTGGTTAGAAGCTAGCCTGGGCAGGAAAGTCTGTAAGAGTCCTATTTTCATCGAGCAAAATGCCCGAAGTGGAGATGTGGCTCAAGTTTTAGAGCACCAGCCTTGAGTAAAAAAGGCAGGGTACTGTCCCTGAGTTCAAACCCCAGTCCACACACAGACACACACACAGACACACACACACACACAGACACACACACACACACACACACACTGCATACGTCAATACCACTAGCAAGCCCAATTCCATAAACTTAGTTTAGACAAGCTCCCTGCTTCACAAGCTTTTCCATGGAGACATCCCCAAGACAAGCAAAGAAAGAGCTCCAGCATACCTTTTCAGGGAGACAGAAACACCTTGTTCCAGTAAAAAGAAACCAAACAACAGAAACAAATCATCTCCTATCTCCTATATTTGTTGTTTGTATCTTGAGGCAAGTGAACACAAACTCAAATTAACTTGGGTTAATGAAGAAAATGAATGTTATAAAAGACTTAGAATCCATTAAATGTATATCAATTGAAGAGCTGTTTAAAAACCATCAACAAGCACTATCACAGCTTCAGCTTGATTAGTGTCTTGTAGAGCTTTAGAAACTCACTTCAACAAAATGTATTTCCTGACACAGACTATACAAGAACTCAACCAAAAAAAAATTTCAATTTACTTATTAAAACATATTTTCAATGAAAAAGTCTCCACAATAAGGAGGACCTATGGAAACCCCTTAACTAACATGGCAATACTGAAAGAACAAAGCTTCCTCTTAAGGCCAGGAATAAGATTAGGATTTCCACTTTCACCCTTCTGTTTGACATGGTATTGGAAATTCCAACTGGGCAATTAGGCAAGAAAACTAAATAAAAGGTACCTAGATTATATCCAAGCACCAGTGACTCATGCCTGTAATCCTCACTACTCAGGAGGCTAAGATTTGAGAATTGTTGATTTGAAGCCAGTCTAGGCAGGGCAACCCATGAGATTCTTATCTCCAATTAACCACCAAAAAGCCAAGCCAAGAGTGGCCCTGTGGCTCATGTAGTGCAGTGCCAGACTTGAGCAGAAAAGATAGAGATCCCAGACCCTGACTTCAAGCCTTGTACTGGCACACACACACACACAAGCACACAAACACACACACACACACACACACACACACACACACAAGCACACACACACTCATCTATGCAAAAAAAGAAGTAAAATTATTCCATTGTAGATGACATGATCTTACAAAAAAATAATAATAAAGAATCCTTACAAAATTATTGGAGCTAATAAGTGAGTTCAACAAGGTGACAGGATACAAACTCTAGCAATGAACAATCTGAAAATTAAGAAAACACTTCCATTTAAAATCACTTAAAAATAAAATGCAGAGTAATAAATTTTTTTAAGGGCAAGACTTGCATACTGAAAACTATAAAGCATTAAAAGAAATGAAAGAAGACAACCCATGTACATGGATTGGAGACTCAGTATAGTTAAGACAGTAATATCCCTGTAATAAACTTACAGATTTCATGTAATCCCTATCAACATCCTGGTAGCTGAACATGGTGGCACAACCCTGTAAGTGCAGCATTGAGGCTAGGGTCACAGGACAAGAGCTTGAGGCTAGCCTGGAATATATAGCAAGTTTCTAGGCCCGCCTGGAAGAGTCCTTGTCTCAACAAAACAAAACAAATAAAAAGAATATTCCCTCTGGCTTATACCCCCTTAAATATCATTTATGTTTTGACTATACTTGAATTAGCTTTGTTGATGGGTTTTAAAATATAAATCATAGGACTCCCATGAAAGCGGCTACATTAAATTCATTTAAATTACCACATAAATGAAGATCATTAAATACAATTCCCTAAAATGGCCATTAAGTCTACACGAATAGTCAACAAGTTTAAGTGGCTTGGGGGAATGCCTAGAAGAAATGGAAAATCTGAAATTTTAGACATAAGTTAATCAGAGAATGAAACCCAATATAGGCTTGTGGATGACATTTCACAGTCTATGGAAGGATACACAGCAACTGGGGAAGTAAATCACTGGTTTCCTTTCAAGGCAGAACTGACATGCCCATTCCTATGAGTGCAGATGGCTCTGGAGAGGCAGGAAGCAAAACACCATATGAATGCATGCTGAACAAACAGAGAAGTGTATGCAACCTTCCTTGACCAAACTGGAACTTTTCCAGAACATTCCGTTAAAGCTTCAACCCATGTTACTTCCTACTGAGCTATGGCTTCTCTTCTAAAATGATGTAATGCTTGTACTTATTTCCATATGCATGGATGAATACAGGACTGAAGTTTTGCAATTTAAAAAATTCTGTTGAGGAGCTGGGTGTGTTCAGTGGCAGAGTACTCAGGTAGCACGTACAAGGCCCAGGGCCAACCTGTAGCTTATGTGTGCACACACACCCATTGAGATAAAAGAGAAAATACAATAAATATAAAACAACAGAATTTGAGTGTGTGAAGAAACAGCACACTAGTAGAGAAAAATGGGGTGAGATTTTCAAAGGCCAAAATACTACATAACTCAGGCAAACTCAGGGTAAAGGAAATCATTTGGCTATGATTACTTTGGCAATGACAGTGATGAAGAAAAATGTGGCCTCTGTCAAAATCCAGAGATGTGTGAAGAATAAACTGCTGCACTAGATTCTGGAAATAAGGGTTTTTAACCCTAACTCCTTCATCATGATATTCTCTTTTGCCCTTCTCTTCTACCTATAATAGTCAAAGCCTGAATTAGTTGGGGGCTGATATTCCTTTAGTGAGTAATTCAGGCAAGCTTTTCTTGCATAACTAGACAGATCCTTGCCCAACCTAACCTCTCTCTCCTCCACCTCAATAATTACAGGGTGTACACTAAATTATTCATAAATCTGTGGTTTTGTTTATATATGATGCCTTTATAGCAATTAGTTGAGAAAGCAAAGTTATAATTCATATTGCTAAGATTCTGCGCTAAAAATCCTCTCTTCTACACTGTCTAATACTAATAATCTAGACAGAGTAATAAGCGATATTACTCAATATTCCTACAAGCAGAGTTTGAATGGAGCTGTGACTCACAATGATGAAGATCAAGTCAAATAATTTTATATTCATTGCTTTTAGCTGGATGAAAATTGACTTAGCTACACAGAAACTAAGAGTACAATACTATTTCTTTTTGATGATAATCCAGTGACAATATGTAAATATAACTTTGATATCCAAAGTCTACACAAAATATCCTTTTATCTGCTAAGTCTTATTTTAAATTCATGGTGTTTTGGGGGAAAGTTAAGAGCAACAGAAGACAAATATGTGTTGTAATATTGATAATATCAAACTACTTCTATAATTTTTATGTTGGAAATATTCTTGTTTGGACATTTGAATGTTAGCACTATTATCACTATTATCATTTCAGAACAATGAATTCTATTATCCAATAAAATGCTAAGTGATACAAGCTTTTTCCATTCCAAGTACTTTTCTGAAGTTGTTTCCATAAAGAGAGGAAAGAAATAGAAGACAGAAAGGGAGAACATACTCAAGCTTCCAGAAAGTGATACAATAAGGTGAAAAACAGGTGCAAAAATAAAAGAGAAAAGAAAAACTTTTTCAAATAATACTAGTGCTTGTATCTAGCTCCATTATACAGTTTAAATTTTGGCCAAATTTTTAAAGTATTTGTTAAACAGTTCTTGAATGTGACATATGTTTCTAGGGTGCTTCTGACATTGATATGAGAAATTATAAAACATTTAGAAATGAAAATGTTAGTCTCAAAATATAACACTAAGTTCCAAGCTTCTGAATTCGTTAAGATGGCAAAACATTTGGAAACTAGTACCTTTCTGTTTTAAAGTGTTCAAACAATGTACTTAAAAAGAAAAAGCAGTTAATTGTTAGAGGCAAGGAAGAAACAAGTCCAAATAAAGTCATGGCCTACAGTTCACCCTAGGTACCATTACTCTTCCTTTGCCGTCTCAATCCTATTGAGACTTCTTCCCTTCAGCTGGGAAGGGTAACTTTTGCCCTACTAAGATGAGGATAATGGCACTACCGTGCTCACGCCACCAGAAACACATGAATATGAAGTAGCATCCACTCTTTCTATGGAGTGAAGTATATGCAAGAATTGATTTGCGATGCATTAATTCAGGAACTCAGCAGAGAGGCTCCTACTATATCTAGCTGATCTAAACTTGAGCTCATGATAACACTGCACAAAGCTATGGTAGATGAAAGTGATAGGTAATGCCAATAGAACAATTCCACTGACAACACAAACTCCTCCAAGAATTCTTCCAGGCATTGTGATAGGATACATATCTCCATAGCCAACTGTAGTCATAGAGATAATCACCCACCAGCAGGCAGCAGGGATGCTGGCGAAGTCCTTGTTGGATGCTTCCAGGTCCAACCCATGTTCAAGAAGCTGAGAAAGTGCACTAAAGATTGCCATGGCAACACAAATGAAGACAAGTAGCATAACCATCTCTCGGTAACATCGCTTGAGAGTCAAACCCAGTGTCTGAAGACCAATGAAATGACGGGCAAGTTTAATCACCCAAAAAATCCTCATCATTCTGAGCACCCTCAAGGTGACTCCAGCCCTCTGGAGTTGAGAGTTCTCGCCTGTAAATACTGTCATTAGCACGGAGATGTAATATGGAGTGATTGCCAGTAAATCAATGATGTTCAGGGGTCTCTTGACAAACTCACACTTGTTTTTGGAGACGATGAACCGCACAATGCACTCTGCAGTGAACCAACCTATGCAGATAGCTTCAATTATCCTGTCAAGAGAACAAAAGAAGAATTGATCATTTTATTTTTAAAGATTTTTAATAGCTCTTAACATTTCTCCAGATAGTACTACACTGACATACTAATTCACTTACTTTTCCAGAAAACAAAGAACAGACAGTATAACCAACATCATGAGACCTGCCAGGACGCAACAGAACAACAAATATTACAGTTCAGATGGAAACTGAATTTGATAACCATCTTATATTATACTACATGTAATGCCAGTTAAATAATGCAATACCATTTTACTTGTCATATTTTTATATATGTATAGATACACATATATGTATATATATATTTGCTGGTTGTGGGGCTTGAACTCAGGGTCTACGCACTGCGTCACTGAGCCTCTTTATGTTCAAGGCTAGCGCTCTGCCACTTGAGCCACAGTGCCACTTTCAGTTTTTGAGTGGTTAATTGGAGATAAAAGTCTCATAGGGACTTTTCTGCCCAGGCTGGCTTTGAATCACAATCCTCAGATCTCAACCTCTTGAGTAACTCAGCTAGGATTACAGGCATGAGCCACCAGCCCCGGCAACATTTTTTTTTAACTCTTTCTTATTTGGTGGTTTGAAATTGACTGAAACAGAGCTGGCCACAGTGAAATTTCGCTTGTTGAGGACAGTGGTGGTCAACTGTGGTACCAGTTTGCGAGATGGATCAGAAGGATTTGTTCCTAGACAGTGAATATCCCAAGGCTTTTTTGGGGGGGCAGTCCTAGGTCATGAACTCTGGGCCTGGGCACTGTCCCTCAGCTTCTTTAGCACAAGGCTAGCTCTCTACCACTTGAGTCACAACACCACTTTCGGCTTATGTGGTACTGAGGAATTGGACCCAGAGCTTCATGCATGTTAGGCAAGCACTCTACCACTAAACCATATTCCCAGCCCAAAAGATAACATGCTTTTGTTGTTGTCCTTGTTTATTGGTTCTGGGCTTGAACCTCAGGGACTGGGTGCTGTCCCTGAGCCTCTTTGTGTTCAAGGGTAGTGCTCTACCATTTGAGCCACAGTACCACTTCCTCTAGGCTTTTTGATGCTTCACTTCTTGATAAATAACAAGAAGATTACTTCCTGAACTGTGACTCTTCCTTTCTTTCCCAGTTGGGCATGGAGCACTGAAAACTGAGGGAACTTTTGGGGTACTGCGTGAGTGCACTCAACAGGAGGGTATCCTCAGCATCCTTATGAGGATGGCATGGGAAAAAGGCTGAGGACTCTCAGGCTGTGACACACCACCACCAGGATTTTCCCAGAGACCACAACTCCTTTGTTTGTTTTTCTCCCCCTATCATTACTATGCACTATGCATTTTTAAAATACAGGACCACATTTTGCCTACAGACATATTTACCAATCTCTCTACATTGAAAATAATTGTATTTACAGAGAGGCATTGTTTACTGTGCCCAATAACAATTTATTTAGTCCGATAATATTTACATGAGCTAAGGGGTAGGTTTCTTGAAGTGGAGGGGGCCAGCCTGCAAGTGCCCTGGTCTTCCTCTTAGGCTGAGGAAATTAAATTTTAGAACACTGGCTAGGAAGTCCTGCCTTGGACTGGTAGGTAACTCAGAGGCAACTGAAATTTAATTTAACCTTAAATTAAATTATTGTTGGTATAATATCATTATTTTTCCAATGTAATTCTTTCTTACCTAGACTCAAATACCTTAAGTCCAAAAGAGAGAGAGAGAGAGAGGGAAATGAAGTCATTTGAAACAAGGTAGAGCAACTGTTCAAAGAGCATTGCACAGAACTCAAGTTGTACGGGATGTCACTCAGAAATGAGTAAATACAGTTAACCAAGTTTCCTTACTGCTGGGAGTGGCAGCGCCATAAAGATTAACTCCATCTTACTAACTCATTTATTTTTTTGAATACATACTCACATTCACATGGTTCAAATTGTCTAAGATTAAAATGAATCTATAAAGATTAAAAAGAGAGAAGTATAGAGTGAAGTCTGAGCTGGGTATAGTGATTCATATCTGTAGTCCCAGCTACTTGAGGGTTGCAAGAGGGAGGATCACTTGACCAGCCTAAGCAACACAGCTCAACTCTCTCAAAAGAAAATAGTCTCATGCTATTTCCCAACCACTCAGTTACATTCCCTGGAGGCAAGCTCTATCAGTTTCCAATGAATCCTTCTGAAATTATTTCATGTATAACATAAAAATAAGTAAAATAGGGTATGTATATATGGATCCCCTTTCACACAAAGAACAGCATATCTCTGTGATCATTTTATATCAATGAGGACACTTTCCTCATCTCTTGAATATGTTGGCAAATATTCTTGAATATTCGTGAATCCAGTTTACTAGATGAACATTTCGGTGGTTCCTGACCTCTTGCTACCAAAACAATGGTTCAATGAATATTCTTGTTTCTATCTCATTCATTCATGTACAGCTATATCTGTAGCTACTAGGTCAAGAGAAATAATTTTGGTAGCTTTTGCCCAACCTCTCCTAGAAAGGATACACTAAATTACTCTCCCACCACAACCAGTATCCACAGCCTCATCAATGTTAACTTACTGAACTTGAGGCTCTATGCCACTGTGATAGTACTTATTTTGAAAAATGGTGAGCATTGTTTTTTCCATGGGTAAAGGTCTGGTTATGAAAAGTATCTGAAAAAGGCTTTTTGTTTTTTACTTTGTAACAGTTTCCTGAAATACCAGTTTTAGAAAACTGTCCAGAGGCTTTGTCTATAAATTGGTTTGTAGCCCGCAGTCTAAATCCTGTCTCTTTTCTGCTTTCTTTCTGGCTGAAGAAAAAACCAAAAGAATTACATTCCATGACATCTGAAAGCTATATAAAACTTGACCTTCATTGGTCATAATAAAGTTTTATTGGAGTACAGCCATGCTCACTCATTTACACCTTGTTTAAGGCTTTTTAAAAATACTACAGTAACAAAGTTGAATAGTAATGTCAAATTATGTGGTTCTGAAAAGCCTCAGGCATTTAGTATCTGGCTCTTTATAGGAAAAGTTTTCTGGTCCCTGGTTTATACCAATGGCTCTCAAACTGATAGTCACAAAAGTATTGTTTAGAATCCATAGGTTCTCTACAAAAATCTTTTTCTAAAGCCTTTTAATTATACTATGGGTCATGTGGATATATAATATATATTGTGCAATATATATGTTATAGTGTATATTATATATATATAGCTGGTAGCCAGGTACTTCCATATGACATAATAGCCATCTGCTTCATATGATCACACCACTGCCAAATAGAAGATGTTAGTAGTTGTGGGCTAGGAAGAGGAAAAAAGTAGGCTGACTCCACAGGCAAATTATGCAACTTGGACAGGGAAGAATAACTAACATAATAGATGTCCAAGAGATGAAGGTTTCATGGCAGTTCAAATGAAGGCAACTGGTGAAGGCATTGAGTCATCCCAGGACAGATGGTAGGCACGGGGTGCTGCACTCCAGATCCCACAAGGAATTCTGAAAATGCCTAACACCAGGCCTGAGGAAGTCAGAAAGTTTATGGTTTTTTGGCTATAAGGCAATCCCTGTGAACACTCATGGGTCAAGGTCTTCAGGTGGCACTACTTTAGAAGGTTTGGAAACTTTATAGGGTGGGCCAGGTTGGAGGAAACAGGTCACTGGAAGGACACCTTTCATGGCTGTATCTACTCTTCAATCTCTTCACTGTTCCCTACTTCCTGTTCATCATGAGCCTCTTCTGCCACAAGGTGCAACAGCCATGATGTCCTTCCCAAGTCATAGGACCAAGCCATCATGATCTAAAAACGTAAGCCAAAATAAATCCTTCTTCCTCTGAGTTGTTTGTGCCAGGTATTTTGCTGTAATAACAAGAAAGGCAGCTAATTACAAGGGTTGTGGGTGGAAAGCCAAACCTTCTACTAACAGAGAAGTACTTAAACCCAAATTTTACTGATAGTACCTTAAGATGGTAGAAACTATTGATAAAGAAATACATGAAAGAATACATTTTTTTCTGAGCAAAAGTCAGTATCTCTAAGATACTGACTTTTTTTTTGTGGTAGGGCAGAGAATTTATACCTACTCCTCTGTCCTTCTTCCCAGAAATGTCATTTTTCCCATTACCATTGGTCAGTGTGTGTCACATAACCCTGCCCAACAGCAAGGAGATTGAAATATCGGGAAAATTTTGGCTGCTTTTAGGTCTCCACATTCACGGAAGCCTTTGTGGAAGCATCTTTTTTTGTTGTTGGTGTTAGTCTAGTAGGAACAAGGGAACATAGATTATGTCCTTTAGTTGGTTATGTAGAAATAGTTTGAATGCCTTGCCAATATTTAATATCAGAATTATGTCTTAGAAGAACTCTGTATTGCATTTTTTCCTGGTCTCACCAAAAAAGGGTCTAAACACCTCATAACAATCACTGCCTGTCCTCCTCCTAAAAAAAGAACTTGAGTAGAACTATGGTCCCTGAATCTGCCCATCTTCATCGCTATCCCACACCCCTCTCAAGGAAGTCTTTGTAGAAGATCTAGGAGGAGAACTGCTTCATTCTTCATATCCTATGAGTCCTAAAAATTAAGGGGTCAGGCCATGGTTTAATAAATAGTAAGCACTTGGCTAGTATGTTGGAAGCCCCTGCAATGCCTGCCAAAAATAAAAGCAAAAAGAAAGGGATCCGAGCAACATTCAGAAACCTTAGGATCACAGTTCTAAAATGTTACCACAGTTATCAATGTCTCAGGCCACTAGTTACTAGGGGTGAAGTATATTAGTTTCCAGTGGCGGCTGTTTAAAAAAAAAATCCCATGAGAGTAGAGAATATAGCTCACTGGAGTGTGGAGTGTAAAGCCTTGGGTTCAATTCCCCCTATTTGGGTCCAGTCTTGATAGCTTATACAAAAATTTGGGGTCCAATCTTGATAGCTTATAAAAAACTACTTTTTCAAAGAAGTCAGGGTATTAAAACCCCAAATCAGTTTTACTATGCCAAAAAAAAGGTGGTAGGAAGGTC